TCAAATCTTGTGGTTTTTCTAACAATTTTTATGACTCGTTTTTAGATCTTTTCTTCCTCAAATGAATCTGGTGAGGAATCAGAAGAAAAAAATAAATTATCAAAAAGTCAGTTGTTATTAAAGGTCAGCATCCTTGAAGCTGAAGTTAAGAGACTTTGTAATGACTTGAAACTTTATAAGACTATGCATGTTATCGTTGAAGGTATGTAACTTGCAAGTGTGAAAGTTTATGCAAATTTATTATAAATTAAATCAGGGTAGCGATCATGTAATTTTTTTAATATAAAATATAAAATTTTTTTTAAGCTAATAGAGAAATTTTTCACTTTCTACGTTTTCGTCCTACGAAAAAAGTTACATGACCGCTACGTTGAAAGAGATTTGTGAAAAGAATCTTTTAAGATATTCAAAAGAATCTCTGAACATATACATCATTTAACTCGAATTAGTAATATTAATTACTGTCCGACAAAATTTTATCTTTCTCTTTGTATTACAAGGGTAAATATTTTATTTTCGATGTATTTTTAGTACTGAATGCGAATCCGTTATCTAAATTTGATTATTAGATTACATTTTTTGCATTTACTCAACATGAAATCCGTTATTAATGATTCTTTAACAAGTTTAACGATTCTAAAAAAAAACAGTGTTTTAATGTAATTTCCAATCATGTTCTGAAGTAAATTACAATCCGCAGAATTTCCTCGTCTTAAATAAAAAATAAAGGATTTGTCATCAAGATGCAAATGCTGCAGACGTGATAAGCAGAAGGATGGTTTATGCAACACAAATAGTGACATTTTTTAAAAAGATCAAAAAATCAAAGAAGTAAAATCTACTGGCATTTCTTCATTTTTTGTGAGTGTTTTCTTGTAATTACTATTATTATATATTTAAACAATTAGATATATTTATTTTTTTTTTTTAATGTAACTGTCTACATTTTTGTCTTTTTAATCATTATTGTGTCACATTCTTTTATTTTTGAAAAATATGTCTTATTTTATATAGGCGCTTCAAGGTAAACAATCAAATACTGTTAATGAAGTGCGTTCAAAACCAGATGAACATTCCTTTCAGGTTTGATAATGTTTTGATATTTATTTAATTATTACTTTTATACAATGTGTTCTTAAAGTCACGATGAGATTTTTAAATGCTATAACTCACAATCAGTAAGAAAACAAATTAGAGACACGAAACATACACGTAATTGAAGAACAATTTTTAAACATTTTTAATTATACAGAGATGCTTATAGATATAAGCATTGCTCGGTAATTAACTAAAGAAATGAGTAAGTTGAATCAAGATTAAAGTTAATCTATACATATAAGTTAATGAAAATACATAAATGGTCTCACACAATGCATGTCTCGAACTTTGAATGCGCGTTCAATGACTACCATATAATTTCCATATTACATTTAAAAAATGTTAGATTTATGTTTGTCTTCAATTACGTATGTTTTTGTGTCTCTAACTTGTTTCCATTATTAAGTTATATATATATAGCATTTTAAAATCCCACCATAACTTTATAAACAGATTGTATATTAAATACATATGTATTGTTAAAATAATTTTTATTTGATTATTTTTTATTTTTCATTTCTTATGCTATAATAATATAATGATTATTGTATAGTTATGAAAACATTAATAATAATTTATTATTTGCAAATTTTTTATGCAGGACAAAATTGAAGTATATGTAATTTAAACCCATACAACATAAACTTATACAAGCACGAATACTTTTGGACCATTCATTTCCGGGTCAATTTTCATAATGTTATGGCATCTTCCTTCTAATTTTTTGTTTAAAAGAAGATTCTATAGTGCGCATATATATATATATATATATATATATATATATATATATATATGACACGTGAAAGATAGATTGCGTTACAATACCAATAACATTGAAAACAAGACGCACTATAGAATCTTCTTTTAAACAAAAAATTTTCATAATGTTATGGCATCTTCCTTCTAATTTTTTGTTTAAAAGAAGATTCTATAGTGCGTCTTGTTTTCAATGTCATTGTAACGCAATCTATCTTTCAAAGGCTCAAAAGGCAACCAAGCTTTTAGAGAAGACGCAATTTATGAAGTTTAAACTCGTACACCATACAAGCATAAATATCTGAGATTGGAGCACCCATTTCTGCGGATCAATTTTCACAATATCATAGCACTTCCTTTTCAATTTTTAATATGTAAGTACATTCTACAATGTGTCTTATTTTCAATGATTGGCACTACACAATTTTCGAGTTTTTTGTGTTAGATTCATAAACTTTGTAGTTCTCTGAAAATGATACAATTTTTTGGTTATCTTACAATGAAAATTTAGCTTTTAATCATTTCTACTTGCAACTAATCAATAATGGCAATTAAATATAATGTCAACCATATATTATCAAATTTTCAGGTTACGTCACAGCCCACTTTACCCAATGAAAATCAAAGAAATTCTGTTCACAGAGAAAAACACAACAAAAGTGATCCAAAGGTAAACAATTTTAATATCATTAATAGACTAAATCAATTCAATATATATTATATATATGCATATATATAGTAATAAAACATTACGTGTTTTACGCACGTTTATTAACTTCAGCACATTTACGTAAATACTTAAACTTTTGCAATTAAAAAGATATCAAATTTGCAATTTTGTTATTTTTTATTTTTATCTTATTTTATCATCTTACATTTTCTCCTTGTAAAGTATCTTAAATGTCTATCTTATATCAATATACATAAATATCTTATATATTAACATATATATATAGGATATTATATGTAAGATATTACATATGTAATATCTTATATATTACATGTTTTATATGTGAGATATGTAAGGTATTATAAAATGTAAGAAGATGATAAAATAAAATAAAAATAAAAATTACAAAATTACAAATTTGATTTTGTTTTTAATTGCAAAAGTTTAAGTATTTACTTAAATGTGCTGAAATTAATAAACGTGCGTAAAATGCGTAATGTTTTATTACTAAAAAACAAAATTTCTAACGAAATTAAATTCTGCATTTTATAATTATAAACGTAAATTTATGTATATAATTTATGTATATAATTTATGTATATAAATTTATAATTATAAATATAAAAATACCTAATGCGTGTTTAAATTTTTATAATAAAAATATTTATATTTTTATAATTGGAGCCAAACTTGCAATTTTATTATTTTTGATTTTTATTTTATTATAAAAAATCATTTCTTAAATTTTTTCTCACCTGGCAAAACATCTGTATATGTATATGTATACATATGTATTTAAATGCACTTTTTAAATTTTTTATTTTTAGATGATTTCATTTGGTTCAAAGAGCTTGCCACTTGCGATTGTGCAAAAAGCTCGACATTCAAAACTATCAGTTTTAGCAGCAGAATTGTGTGGCTTAGTATTTACGCCACGTAAATTGGCTTTATGTTCTCTTAAAGGAAAAAAAACAAATGCCCATAAAAATGTTTTTCAAAAGCAGGCAATTGATGAAGAGAAAGTGAAAGGGATAATCGGTATGCATATCTTAATTATTTATCTCTTCTTACAATCAGTCTGCGTACATAGGTGGATGTGTATTATAAAAAGATTATGATATATAATCGGATGTCCCACAACTCTTAATTAATATTTCGAGGAGTGAAAGAGAATGAATTTGAACTAAAAGTTTCTTTATTCTGGCTCAGACTACTATTCATTTACTTATTTTTTAATATCAAAAATTAGAATAAAATTTTAATTGGGAGAATGTATTATACAGTAAGCGCGAGGAGCCTCATGGCGTACGTGCTACGCTTCTGCGTACTGTTACTGGGCGCGATCTAATTGATCAACATTATTCGTTAATAACTCTGTAAATAATGGTCTGACAATGAGTCCAAATTGGGAGAGAAACTTTTAGTTCAAAATTTTATTCTCTTTCACTCTTCGAAATATTAGTTATAGGACACTCTGTAAAGGAATACATTAACGCAATAAGCGATTTGACCTTGTAAAATGCACAGCATAGTAAAATCAAGTAACGCAACCATAGCAGTGCTTGTTTTATTGTTTAATTTTGATTCTTATTGCTTACATTTTATATATATATATATATATATTTATATATAGCAATGCACATTCTATTTCTGCATTTTTTATGAGTCATTGACTTAACTGAATATTTATATCCTAACTTTTTTTCTGACTTTCAGAATACATTGCCAAGTATTTTTCCAAGTTCTGTGATGACGTTAAAGACGAAGTATACAAAGCCATTGGAAATAAGCTCAACAACTTGTCCAAAACTTCCGAAGGAAAGAGAATAATAAACGAGCATCTCGCTGAAAAATCAGGGCAGCAAGAATTAGCAACACAGCAGCAAGTTGAAAACAATCAACAACCCTGTAACGTAGTTGCAACAGAGCAACAGAAACAAACAGATCTGCAGGTTGAGCAAGCGGATCCAACTAATCAAGAACCAGATACAGTAAAACCTCGTTTATCCGAGGTAATGTGGGGAAGGGGTACCTCGGATAAGCGAAAACTCGGTTAACACGGAATAAATAAAAAAAACTC